AAATTTCTAAAGATGGCATCCTGGGTTCTTCATGATTCTTGTTCTATGCCGCTTTTCAGCCTGAAGTCATATATTCTTACCCTCACACTCTGTGTTGCTGCCATATTGAATGGCTTTTGGTTTCTTAACTATTCTGTGCCTTTCTTGCCTTCCAGCCTGTCAAGTAGTGTTTTATCTTCTTGGATCTCTTTCTAATCCCTTTTCCTAACTAAATTCAGATCATTGTTTACGATTCATCTTAGAGGTGACTTCCTGCAGGAAATCTTTGTTGATATTCTCTTGGCAAGGCTGAGTCAGTTGTGTTTCCCACATGGTCCTCTAGTACCCCTGTGCATACCTGTTTTATTAATATCACACACTATTGTAATTGTTCGTTTATGTGGCTTCCTTTCAACTTCATTGTAAAGCTGTGTTCTATTTGTCACTGCAGCCCTATTATCAAGCATAACCTAGCTTGGCTTACTGTAGGCAATTTATAAATATTAGTTTAATTAACTAGTAATAGAATTATTGAGTGATTAAATGAACATATTGGCAAACATTCATAAACCAATTTGGAGTGCAGCTTTAGGTTTAAGCATACAGCTCAACACAGCTGTAATGTTGGGTTTAATCAAGATGTTTTGTAACAGGAAGGAAATTTTGAAACATATTTTTTACATGTTTCATTGAAACATTTCTTTACATGGATCTGCCTGACATTATATACCAGGCATTTTTTGAACAGTTTAGCTTTCTGTACTATTATGTGGCAGTAAGTAGAATAAAAGTTTTAAAGTTAAACAAAGTGTTAGGTAACTTTTATTGCTGCTATACATTCTTCTGTATTGTTTGTGTTTCATTTTTAAACTTGGATCGAAAAGATATATGTAAAAGTGCCTTGATATTCTGAATACTCTGTTAGACAAATAGATGTTATGATTTATAGAGTAATTGCTGTGTTCCAGGCACTGTGTTGGACATTTTATGTACATTATTTTATCAAGCTTTTCTCCCCAAATAACTCTGAAATAGGTATAATCATCCCGATTTTACAGATTGAGGAATGTAATATTGAGAGTATAGTGCCTAGAGTTCAAACCCAGAACTCCTTATTCCCCAGCTTGTGGGCTAAATCTATCCCCTTTTTCAGTTTTATTTGATTCTTGGGGCAAATAAAGATGAAATATTCCCTTACTTCTCACTTTTATATGAATTAAGTAAAAATAACATAGCTTTAATACATTTTTGTCCATAATAAAGTATAACTGAGTGTATAGTTCTACTGTCATAATTATGTAGAAGTTGTATAGCAATAAGAATGAGAAATCCATAGATACTAACAGAAGTGACATAAAATATGATAGAAACATTAAATACATATATCAGTCTTGGGGCAAAGAAAGATCAACTTACTGAGTTTGGGTGAGAGGGTGAGATAGCTTTATGAATCTGTGTGCCAGCAAGGGAGTAGCATAGTTTTGGACAAAAGTATCAGCTCATAAGAGTGTCAATATCATACCAATAATTTAAAAAATGTTTTTTTGAAGAACAAAATTTAAAAGCAAAAATAACTTTTCGAGTGTTTTTAATGTTTACCATCTTCCGAAATTTTTTCCCAGCAAATATATAAATTCACAAATAAAAATCTTAGCATTTAGTAAATGTCATTATAATTAACCATGAGAAATATGTGAATATAGTGAAAAACTGGAGGAGTGATACTAAGCCCTTGCCAGGGAGAGGAATTTAAATATAAGACTCTAAAATGTTTATTGAGGATTAAGGTAATAAGCGGTAGAAGTGAAAGCACTTTGACTACGGAGTCAGAGAAGCCCAATATTTGGGCAAGTTACCTTTTTAAGCATCTGGTTCCTTGTCTGGAAAATGATCTGCTGCCTCCTACCTCAGCAGGCTGTTGTGAGAACTAAATGAGAAGACGAGCGTAATGTGTCTGGTTAATAGTAGGGAATCGGTAAGTGCCGTCATTATTATTGTTGTTGTTGACGGTAGTGTTGTTGTTGATCGTGCTACTACTGCTCTCAGGAAGGCGACGATTATATTATTTCAGTTGAGTCCAGACATCAAAAGAATCATCAGGTGGCTTCCCAGGTCTGTGGAGACTGAGATTTGGGGGATAGTGTGCAGTTATTTTGGTTGCCTACAAGATCTCATGCATCAGCATGCATTTCTGCTTTAGGAAAGAGTGAACTTTGTTATAAAACTAATACTTTGTTTGGCTGAGCCCTTGAAAAGTGAATCAATAAGATTACCTGCAATGGTCATATTTTATTACAAATCAAATAATCTTCCTCCAAACTGAAACCATGCCTGCCATGTCAATATGCTTTCTGGTCCATGCTTTAAAAGAAGGGAATTAGGAACTAGGAAAGATTATTTTTGGATTCAAATATGCTTAGTCTTCAGCAAAACAAAACAAAACAAGGCCCTGAGTTCTGCAGAATAAGCAATTAGGTTAACTTTTCTTTTTTAAGTAAGCCATTTGGCATTTTGTGTTGGAATAGTTCAGAAGTTCACTTAAGTTGATATAAACATCCCAAGTTCTCATTCTGTTTTGGATTTAGCTAAGCTCTTTTTTTTTTTTAAATAAGGAGTTTTGAAGGGAATATTTTACAAGAAATAATCTCAAAATTCTTGAATTTTGAAGAAGAGTTTAGCTAGAAGTTTACTAGTACTATCTTTCCTGGTGGCTCTTTTCCTATATGAATCCAAACTAAATATCACATTGAGAAAAAAATACATTAGGGACTTACATTTTATCACATGTCTGTAGTATGATGACTAGAGTTCAAAATCTATTAAATTCCTAGTTTTACCACTTTGGGCAAGGTAATTAACATTTCTGGGCCTTATATACTGTAAAACTATGGAACTACTACTTACTTTAAAGGGTATTGGAAGGATTAAATGAGATAATTTCCATAAAATGCCTAGGGTAGCATCTGGCACATAGCAGGGACTAAATAATATTTCTCATCTTCCCTCTGGCATCATCATTGAAAAATTTTTACCAGTGGCTTGAGATTGTTTCTGTTTAATCCTAACTCTCCATAACTAATAGTATTTGACACTCGATTCAAGGCATGGAGAAGAAATCTTCTAAATATAACAAAATTCTACTAATTCAGAGTAATAAGGCCAAGTTTCTGGTTATTAACTCATGTTATTTAGAATATGTTATGAAAATTGGAGCATAGCATTGTATAGAAGCCAGCTTAATAAAATGTTACCTACTACTTTTGCTTTAATGAATGGATAGCTTGGATTTGTTGGCAAACTGATTATTATAGGATAATATTCTTTGTCAATTCTTTTTGAAAAGAGCTGTTTCCTTAACAATTCAAAATCTCCTTGAAATTTTTTTCCTTTGATATTTTGTTACAGCTATTTTAAAAAAATTACTAACTTCTGGCTGACTGAACCCAAATAATGAATTACTAGACCCAGAAGTTAATAAAATTTTAATTATTATGAATTGTCTTATAATTTGAAATCATATTTTCAAAATGAGCTGTTTTTTAACTATGATATTTCTTAGCCATGGGAAAAAAATATCCTCTCTTTTTTCTACCTTTGTCAACATATTTTAATATCGTGGGACCTACAACAAATGTGTACAAATAAATAGCATTCTTTTTTCCCCCATTTAAGTTTATTTCTGTCTTTTATTATCACTTTCTCTGTATTTTATCCGCAAATGATTTATTATTTCCAGTTTTATATTCTTAAACAATGATCTTGTGATGATAGTAATTTCTAGAGATAGGGAAAATAAGCTAAATGACAATTAAGGACTTTTTGCCCTTTTCAGGTTTTTGTGAATCTGAAATAATCTCAGCATTTCTCTGGATTAAGGAGTTTTTTGTTTTTTTTTTTTAAATTTATTTAGACTACAGAAGTCTCCCCTTATCACAGGTGATATGTTTCAGGACGCTCAGTGAATGCCTAAAACTGCAGATAATACTGAATCCTATTTATATTATATATATATATATATCTTCTCTTTAGCATATCCAAATTGCCAGCATCACTGCTCCTGCACTTTAGGGACATCCTTAAGTAAAATAAAAGTTTGCTTGAGCACAGTCACTGAGATACCTTGACAGTCAATCTGATAACTGAGAAGGCTGCTAAGTGACTAAAGGGTGGGGAGCATATACCTCTTAGATAAACTGGACAAAGGAATGATTCAAGTCTGGGGCAGATAGAACAAGATAAAACAGCAACTTAAATGCAATTTAAAACATGAATTTTTTATTTCTGAAATTTTCTTTTTAATGTTTCAGACTACAGTGGACAGCTGGTATCTAAAACTATGATAAGGGAAACTACAGATAAGGGGGGACCACTGTAAAACAACAACAACAGGAATCTCTTAATGTTAATGCTTCTTTTAGGAACAATTTGGATCACTTAAGGCAGTGGTTCTCGACCCACAGGGGTCGCCTAAGACCATCAGAAAACATTTTTTTGATGGTCATAGTAACTGAGACACCGCTCCTCTATCCATCTCCAGGTGGGTCCACCTACATGCAGATATGCCCACATACAAGTAACCGGCTTCAAGACAAAATTTCATTTATTTGTAATTAGAAATAAATATTTCACAATATATAATTACATATTATTTTTGTGATTAATCACTATGCTTTAATTATGCTCAATTTGTAACAATGAAAATACATCCTGCATATCAGATATTTACATTATGATTCATAACAGTAGCAACATTACAGTTATAGAGTAGCAATGAAAATAATTTTATGGTTGGGTGTCACCACAACATGAGGAACTGTATTAAGGGGTCGCGGCATTAGGAAGGTTGAGACCCACTGACTTAAGGCATTGGCCTCTGGCTATTCCAGTAAGAAATGGAACTAAGAAAGAAAAAAAACGGGGATAACTGATCAATAGCTTTGACTTTTTCAGTAGACTTTCTGGCTGATTTTGAATTGTCCACAACACTCTAATTTTTAGTTTGTTTCCTCATTTTCTTTCAGAACTCTTGATGTTTCAGTGAGCTTTAATGGAGGAGAGTCTGTCATCTCGAGCTCATTAACAGTCACAGCCACAGACTGTGTAAGTGAAAAGTTTTCATCAAGTTACCTTTTCAAACTAATTCTATCCAGAAATAATGTATGGGTTCACACAGCGTTGTTGCATACCAAGGGGGTATAAACGATAACACTGGGGACCATTATAAGGAAAAATGTATGTAAAATTTATTTTAAGTTATATTTTTTCCCTGTAGCTGTCTTTAAAAGGGATTTCAAGATAGTGTACATTTTATTTTTATATTTAAAAAATTCAAAAGTCATATTTAAAATCAGCATAAGGTAGGAGAATGATTTCCAAATGAAACATTTTTTTCTTAAAAGAGGAAACATAAATGGAATAATGTTTTTGTGAAATGAAGGTTGCATTATAGTATCTAAGACATTTATCCTGTTTTTGAAATATTAGGGCATCTTAATGATCGAGCTTATTATTTTGACCATTTTAATGTGGGTGCTTTCTCATATCAGTAAGGAATTTGATTTTGATGGTTTGATAATATCCTAGTTTGAAACTACATTGAAACCGTATTTTAGTTGAGTTGAATGATTTACATTACCTAACATACAATATTTTGAAATGTAAATTCCATTGATAAGACAGTATTTTCCTTGTAGGTAAGTTTTTGGGTTTATGGAAAGTTTTGATATTATTGGGTCGTTGGGAAAGTCATGACGCATTTTTGCATTGAAAAACATAGAAAAATACGTCATGATTTTCCCAACGACCCAATAGATTGTTAAACATGAAAAAAGAAAGCACTAAAAAGGATTGCTCACATGGCTATTATTTTTATGAGTAAATTTTCTTTATAAAAAAAATGTATAAATCAAAGAAAAAAAGAAAAAACAAAACACCCTGCCTTTAAAAGACCAAAATCCCAAACCTAAACACTTTCTCACATCTTTTGGTTTTATAATTTAATATTTTGATCCATTAATTTAAGAGATACCCTTCTTCCAGGAAACAAAATAACTGTGTTATCTGTAAAGAAACAAACTAACTCAATATTATCTGTAAACAAAATAACTCAGTATTATCTCATTGTAAGAAAGCATTGAAAGGAAAACAACATCTACATGGACCCTGGGGTCACTATGGAATCTCCTGGATAGCTCTTTATCAACACCTGTTTCTATTTTGAAAATAGCTAGTTCTCCCTCTCTGCCCCTTGGCCCCACCTTATCATCTGTAACTCATGCTGCAATTTGTAGGTTTTGTGGATGTTGCAATTTGCAGCTTTTCTGGTGCCTCAGGATGTGGTTGATATTACAAACATTTGTGGTATATAGTTTGTCAGTGTTTAGCTTACCAAAATGGCATCCTTTCTCCATCCTTCTTCCTATTCTGCACATCCAGCCACCTTTTTCACCTCTCTTCAGTGCAAGAAGGAAAACAAAGCTTATCTGTATTTTATAACCACACAGGATTGCAGTGTGCAGGGATGCTAAGATTAAATGACTCATCTGGAATTTATAAGTTGGGTACTTTAAGGAAGCCTTCTTAATTCTCAGGAAAGCATCACATGATTTGAGGTGGTTTCAGAGTAAGGTGATTTCAGAAAAAGGGACATTGGTTGTGCCAGACATGGAGAGGGTGTGAAGGGGCAAGTTGTAGTATTAAGGAAGGGAGTAAAATAATTTTCATTGTAAAGAGATTTAAGCAAAGACTTAAGGAAGGTGAGGAAGTGATCCCTAACGACCACCCAAGGAAAGAGTGTTTCTTGCAGAGGGAGCAGCTGGAACCAAGCCTAAGGTGGGACTGTACCTGACAAGTTTAAAGCAGAGCAAGGTGGCCAGTGTGCTGGGGTGGAGGTAGGTGGGGGGAGTAGGAGTCTAGAGATGAATAGGAGAGAGGGGAGGGCAAGGGACAGATCACGTGGGGTTTTCTAAGTCATTGTAGGGACTTGAGTTTTTCTCCTGAGTGAAACAGGGAGCCATTGGAAGGTGACATGGCATGAACTCAATATGTTTAAAAGGCCCATTCTGGCTGTTGTGTAAAAAAAGACTTTGTAGGGAGGGTCCAAAGTGGAAACACAAAGACCAATGCTGTGTCTGTTTCAGTAATATAGGAGAGAGAGGGAGGCTCCACTAGGGAGATGGCGGTAGAGATGGTGAGAAGTTGTTGGATTCCAATGTATTTTAAAGATGGAGCTCATGGGATGTTTAGACAGATTAGATGTGGGTGTGAGAGAAAGACATAAGGACTGTCAGTAATACGAAAAATACCCAGGCATTGGATTTAAGTGATAGCCGGTCTTTCAGGCGTAGTCAGATGTGATAATTAGGTGAGATGGTGCTTTGGGTTTTCACAGGTGTTTGAAAGCCAAACAAGATAAAACACCATTATTTTAGCAATTGATTAATCCCTGTGGAAATCCCACAGATAAAGAAGCCCTTCTTTGTGCTCAGAGAGCATCTGAGCTCAGTCCTGTGAAGGCACTTATGTCACTGAGTTGTCATTTCCTGTTTACTTCTGGGCCTTTCTCAGCAGCCTTGAGTCGGTGATGGTGGGGTTTCTGTCTTGTCCATCGCTCCCCTCCCAGTGTCTGGTCCTGACACAGGGCTTGTGCGCCAAAATTATTCGTTAAATGAATGAATGAAAGTAGCTGTAGATCTAGTTTAAAAGTGGGGAAACTAAAGTTTAAATATAAGAGATTTAAAATTAGAGCCTGAGGAGGGTTTGAACTTAGGTAGTCATGTCTCTTCATCTATTGCAGAAGATCTCCTAAATGTATCTCTGCTTAAAAAAACACAGCTAAAGATGTCCCCCCCCCCCAACCACTGCTCTTCTTCTGACTCATTTGGCTAAATAATTCCAAGAACATGTTTTTTTGAACATGTCTTAAGTGCAAGAAACTGTGCTAAGCACTTTATGACTTTACGTAATACAACTCAAGAGAAGACTTATTGCTTCACCTTAATTATACGGACGAGAAAGCTGAAGACCCGAGGGCCACCTTAAATTATTAGTGCACATGTATGTAAACATGTTAGAAGGTGCTTCTTCTGTTAGGTGGATCCAGCCCTCAGCAGGTGAGCAGAGTGTGGGCGGATTAAAGCCCGCACTGCCCCCGAGGGAGTGAGGGGCTCAGAATCTGGAGTCTCTGGAGGGTAAGTTGCTCAGTTTCACAGTTGAATAAATTCTAGAATTCAGAATTGAACCCAAGTCTGCCTCCCCCTCCAGCCTGAACACTTGCATAATCTGTCATTTGTAACCAGGTGCTAAACTGACTTTATAAAACAGGGGTTGGCAATTTTTTTTCCTGTAAAAGTTCAGATAGTAAACATTTCAGACTTGGGGGGCTGTATGGTGTTTGTCACAGCTACTCAACTCTGCTGTGTAGTGCCAAAGCAGCCATAGACATTTCATGCACATGTGAGCGCGGCTGTGTTCAACACAGCTGTGAACACTGAAATTTGCATTTCATGTAACATGTTCTTCTTTTGATTTGTTCAGCTATGCAACAATGTAAAAAAACATTCCTTAGCTTGTCCGGGGTCTTTATGAAACAGATGAGTTGACTTGGCCTTTGGGCCATAGTTTGCTAATACCTGATATGGAATACTCCAAAAGAATCCAGTAAATAAATTTGTCACCCGTTTCATGATTATTTTTTTCTTTTCCTAACTCTAAATTCATGGAAACAAAATTGTGGAGACCTAGTTCCCCTTTTCTGTGTCTGTTCTATTTTAATGTGGTTGCTGTGATTGTTTTCTAGATAGATTACATGGTATTCATGCAGTTTTGAAATTTTTGAGTGATTCCTTCCTTCCCAGAGTCATGACTCTGGTTTGTTTTTATACTGCTATGATTCTCTTATCTAGACTTCAGTTATATTTGGCAGAGTAAAGTTTTTGATTGTACTTTAGAACTTGTTTTTAGTGAAGAAAAGGGAATTATATGCAGACGAAGTTTAAAAGCTTAATGTGTCTGGGATGACTAGAAAATATATTTCTTTTACGCTAACATCTAGATCAAGGTTCTGGTATGTCCCCAGTTAACCCTTAAAAGCATTTTGGCTCCATGACCTTGGCCAAAATCTGGCTACTAAGTGTCTGATTGGGCTCCTCAGCCAGCTTTCCCAGAAGGCTCCTCAGTTGTCCTCTCAGACATCTGAAAATACTACGTGTTCAGAACTAGAGTTACAAAGAATTGATCCAACAAATGGCCCATTGAAGGGTCATTCAACAAATGGGCATGAATCTAACAAATGACCCAACCTTCTGTAATAAAGACAATTACCACCTTGCAGAAATTTGTGTTTCACATAATTTCTTCAGCTTCTTCAGGTGCTACCAAGTCCCCTCAAACTCTCTGTTCCAGTCAAAGTTGTCTTTTTCTTGCAAAAAGCCACTAATTGTGCCCCACACCCTCCCTCAGGCTTTCTTATACTTCCTCAAGGAGGTCCCCTGAGAACACTAGACCAGGTTAGTTCCCACTTGGACATGTTTGTCTTGTAGGAAACTTCCATACTCCTCTTGTTTGTAGTTACTTGTTGAGGGCTTGTCTCCCCCACTAACCTGTGGACAAGTCATAAAGACCTGTCCAACACCATCACCTTGGTACCTGTGTATATAACTCTCAAGCATTTATTTTATTTATTTATTTTTAAAGATTTTTATTGGAGAATTGGGGGGATGGGAACAGTGCTGGGAGATTGGGGAAGGGGAACAGACAAGTTGCTGTCGTTTTGTTCTTCAGTCTAGTTGTTGGACTAGGAGGATGTTGCTTCACTGGCCGAAGTTGGCACCATCATTGCGCTCTTCCGGGGCGAGGCAGATCAGTCGCCAGATTCTGGACGGTCACTCACTGCGGCTGCTGGCCGCTCACGCTGGCTGCTGGCTACACACGGTAGCCCATGGCAACTCACTGCCACATGGGCTGCAGCCTACGCCGTCACCGGCGACTCACGGCAGCCCAGCTCCAAGTTGAGCTGTTGTTCAGCATCTTAGCTGTGGAGGGCAGTGTTCACTGGCCCTCATATGTGGGATCCGAACCGGGGCCCTCTGGCATCCCAAGCGAGTTCTTAACCATCGTGCCACTCGGCTGGCCCATAACTCTCAAGCACTTAAAGAGAGGCGTGCCTGACCTGAAGTGACAGGCATTTAGTTTCTGCCTGGTCATCATACCTAGTTTCGTCTGACTCTGAAGTGCAGTTTGCAGCATGGCATCTGCTTATAGGACTGAAGTGTATGTGTTTGACCTTTCCTTAATTTGTTTATAAAGTGATGTGAACAATGAAATTATTTCCCTTTCATGACTGAGGTCTTTCATGCTTTGATAATGGCTCTGGCAAATCCAAACAAAGGAACTGGGAAAGTCTGAATTTGTATCCAGTTGACTGAGCCAATGTCTGGGGCCAGGCGTCCAGGGCTTGGTCTCATGCAGTCACGGCAAGGTCAGGCTGCGGTAAACATTTGCTTCCTCTGGCCTGTTCTCTACCATGCTTAGCTTAAATAGGATAAAGACTAGGTCTGTATGTCTTTAGAAAGTATATATTTTTGTTTTAATTTTATTGTAGACAAATCTTTGGAATAGGTTGAGATGATAATATTGTCACCCTAAACGTATATTTGCACCTGGACATGCTTAGTGGTTTGTTATTGTTCCTAATAGGGACATTCTTTCAAGGAAAATCAAGAATTTTAACTGCATGTCATGGCCAGCCAATCTAGTTTATATTCTGTATGATTTTCCGAATTTGCTGCTCATGACACATTCATAAAAAAAAGAACTAACCACTAAACTTTTATCAGATTCATACTCTCTAATAGCACATCTTTATTTCTGAACACAGGGCTTGATTCTATAAAGGAAATCAGATGTTCATAGAAATTTTAATTTTTAGTTTCAGGTGTACAAAACAATGTAATAGACATTTACACCCCTCACAAAGTGATAAACCCCCTCCCCCAATCTACTACCCCTCTGACATCATATATAGCTGTTACAATTCCATTGACTCTATTCCCTATGCCGTCTGTACTCCACATCCTGTGACTATATATATATGTGCATATATATATATATATATATTAAATTATAGTTGACATTCATTATTATTCATAGAACTTATATTTTCATTCTACCATACACTACATCAATAAATTGCTAGATGAGTACATGTCTTTTTTATTTCTTATATTTCAAATTAATTCTTTATGGTAAACAGCATGTAATATCTTTGAGGGCTTTAAGAATGGTTTAATAGTAAATGGTAGCATTCAATGAAGATGGTGTAGCTATGTCTGTTTCTAGTTATTTTTGTTGTCTTCTGAATGATAAATTAAGTGAAATGATTCTAAGTAATACTTTGGTGGTGTCTATTTTGGCTAATTTGCAACCTAACTTCAGCTACATTAATAGCTTGTATGGTTATTTCCTCTTCCATCCAGATACAAAATTGGAAATGAAAGGATAGCTTTAATTGTTCATGTATACTTGATTCTTAATGTTTTCCTGAACATTTCTGAAATTAGAATGTTTTATGGTTGATGCTGCTCTGAAAGTTATTTTAAAAGTTATTTTGCAATGGATTTATTAAACCTGAAAGTCTGCTAATAATAAATACCTTTGAAAATTGATTTGTTTGCAGACAGTTTCCAAGCCACTATCTGGTAATCTTTTTCTTTGTTTTTCATTGTAATACTAACAGATGATACAGGATATTTCAAGATTTTTCCGATTACCTAAACCAAGTATATGCTACTAACACTTCCTTGATAATACCTTTGAAAACTACCTCTCTTCTCTTTTCAGTTATTTACAAATAACTTTACATAAAGATTATTATTTCTTTTGTGTATAGGTTATTTTGCATTAGATTTCAAATCTCATTATAAAATGTTCTAATTAAATGCTACTACCATTGTAGCTTAAACATCAGAAAGTCTCTTAGCTTTGATCAATCCTAACGTTTTCCAAAGTGGATTCTAGGGAATCCTAGTTCTGCAGGATATTGGAAATGTTATGAAAAAAGAAAAATGGTTCTGTGATGATATGAGTTGTACTTCTTTACTCCAAAAACATTCAGAGCTTTATCAATATGTTAATGTGCAAAGTGATTTTCTAAGAGAGTTATAGTAGTCATGGCTTTTCCATAGTTTCATGCTTTGGTAACAACTGTCTCTTATTTTGTGGGTTAGTCTAGAGGTCTAATTTCAAGCAAGTTGTTTAGTTTCTCAGGGCCTCCATTTTTTAATACTTTTAATACAATGACATTCAAGATGGATACTGGTAGGTTCTCTGCCCCCCCCAACCCCCCCCTCACCCCGTGCGCGCGCGCGCACACACACACACACACACACACACCCTTCTCTCTGTCAGCTCTTGGGATAAATGTGGCTCTAGTTCTGACTTCTGGGCTAATACTTTCTACTTGTTTGTTTGTTTTTTTGTTTTTTTTTTAATCTGAGCCATCCTGCCACCTTTTGGCAGCTCAGCGGCTGCTCAGCTCGGGCCAGGAATCGAACTGCTATTGCTCAGAGCTCAAACTCTTGAGCGAGCTCTTAACCAACTGAGCCACTCGGCTGGCCCCTTCCTACTTGTTTTAAATGACAGGAAATGTATCTGGAAAGCTACTTATAAAGTCCCACATTTTCACCCAGACATTATATTGATTTACTATTTTTTCCCCCTGAATTCTCTCCCTTAAAACAAAATGAGACATTGTTAACGGGGATCTCACAGAATGGGTTAGGAAAAGATACCTTGTTCCTTTGGAAACTTGACACTGAAAGTTCAGTGAACACTTTTCTTTGTGTTGATGGCTTCTTGCAGTCTTATTTCTTTGGAGCTCATTCTCAACAAATAACCAGGCATGGAGTATACATTGGTAAGTGGGTTGACCTAGCCCCTGCCTTCCGAGAGCTCACAGCAAATAGTGGCAGAAAAAAGAAATTAAATAAATAATTACAGTTCACCATAAACAAACATATAAATTGTGATGAGTGCAAAAGATTAAACTATAGAGAACTATGCATTGTATAGCAAGGAGGGGGCATTTCTAATCAAAGGGTGCAGGGAAGGCTTCTTGGAGCAGTGACCTTAGTTAAGCTTCTTAGGATGCCTAGATGGGTGCTAGGTGAAGGGAGCTGGAGGAAGAGCCCAGAGCAGGGGCCTTAGGACTGGAGGAACTCCTCATTAGGAAGTGACAGGACACCAGTGGTTCTTGTGGGGCTAGTGCTTGAGCTGCCCTGAGAGATCTTCTGACACACGAATGATGAGATTGCATCCATGTATCTGTGTGTATATACCACTGATGAACAAGAACCACTGTTGTTTGTCACCTGCTTGGTGATTGTTGATATTCATCTGTCCTATCATTAAATATATACAGTATATAAAGTAGTGTTTCATCATCCAAAAGGCTTGAAAAATTCTGCCTAACCACGCTTGTAGCCAAACTAACTTTTCCCAGAGACAAAAGATAGGGACCATTCTTATAACCCCAAATAGTGATTTTTCCTGCATTCTTTTAAGACAATTTAAAACAGTCTCTAGCACTTCGGAATATTTTATATTTATTATTACCTGTCTTATAATAGCATTATGAAATAGAATATAAAGGAATTTACAGAATTAAAAGACTTTAGAGGTATATAATAGAAATCTGGTTTGACGTTATTATGCCTCCTTTATTATTTGCTGGTGTTTCCTTTAAAAATATGTGTTGGGATTTGACCCTGAGCTTCGCTGACTGCCTCGTCTCTGTTTTCTCCCTACTCTAGTCTAATGGGGTTGCAGCCATCATTGCCATTTTGGTGTTACTGCTACTCTTGGGCATCGGTTTGATGTGGTGGTTTTGGCCCCTTTGCTGCAAAGTGGTGAGTAAGAAGGACTTAAAACCCTACTTTTTTTTAAACCAATGATACGTAAGGCCAGAAATATCAATCAATGCCACATTGCTCAACAACAACAAAGTTTCAATTAGGAAATTGAATTTTAATAGTTTTTATCACTATAATCAATTCTAGAGGACATGCATGCCAGTACATGTTTATTATAAAACTTAATCTGAAACGTAAATACTTCAAAATCAGGTTTGAAGGAAGAAGTGGAGAGGATGGTAGGAGAGGTCATAGGAATAAAATATTTTCCACTCAAGCACAAAAGAATTTCAAGTAAATTAATGATATTTTCTACTGGATTCATTGGAAGAAATGGATAATCTGTGAAGCTTTTTTTTTTTTTTTTCAGTGCTTATTGACTCTTTCATTACCTCTTTGAAAAATCTACTATTTCGGGACCTTCTTTGTTTGCCTCTCAGAAAGACATTTTAGAAATAAGTCATGTACAAATGTTAGGGTATCTGTTAAACGGCCACTTTGGAAATTAGGACAGTTGGTTTTAGTTTGTCATTTTCATGTTTGAGTAAAACCTCTGAAAGAATATGGGCATTATTAATTTTCTATTACCACTGTAACGAGGTGCTACACATTTGGTGGCTTAAAGCAGTGCACATTTATTATCTAACCATTATGCAATCACAGATCCAGCATGGCTCTCACTCGGCTAAACTGGGCTAAAAAGTGTCAGCAGGGATACATCCCTCTCTTACTGCTCTAGAGGAGAACCTGTTCCCTTGCCTTTTCCAGCTTCCAGGCTACCCACTTTCCTTGCCTCATGGGCCCCTTCCTTCATCTTCAAAGCCAGCAACATGCTGGGTCTTTGACCACTCTCCCTCTGACTCTGAACCCAGCTGGGGCAGGACCTCCAATGTTAAGGAACAACGAACGTGATTAGGTTAGACACTCGAATAACCCAGGATAATCTCCAGTCTCAAGGTCTTCAACCATAATCACATCTGCAAAGTACCGTTTGCCCTGTAAGGCAATTTATCACAGTTCCAGAGAATTAGGGTGCAGACATCTTTGTGGGGCCGTAATTCTGCCTACCACTGGGTGGAATGTTGAGTAATAAATATCAGCCGATTTCAAGCAATCCAATTTGGATTCTTCAGGCTTCATAGAAAAGATTCTCCTGAAGAAGCACTTTTTCAAAGGATACCTACTATTTATTTTGAAAGTATCCCTTTTATCGGCGCATTATATAGAACTTCGTATTCTGTAAAATACAGTAGTGTTTTATGTAATATTATTACTAGACTGCCGCCCCCTCCCCCGGCCCCCACTGTTGCTGACTGATTTCAGCGTCCTTGCGACATCAGGAAGTGCTTTGTATTATCCCTGCATTTATTATTCATTGTACTTCAGTCTGCTTTCATGAGGCAACTTTTGTCTCAAAGCAGTTGGCCCATGGAGGAGGCACAGCATTCAGCTAAACAACAGGAGAGATGAGAGGCATCCTGTCTCCTTGCTGAACTAATCGGTTTCCTGCCATAGCCATGTATGCACACGCGGCTTCCTGTTGTAACCTTGGTTAGCACAGATAGGACTATTTCCGGGCGGCTAGCATGCTTGAGTCACAAACTAAGAAGCAAAAAGGTCCCCTAAGGTGATTTGTGCTCCTTGTTGTTTTTTAAATTTAAACTTTGCAGTGGTGGATTTCCTTCCTTCATTACTTTGTAATTTCACTTATTATTGACTAAAGGGCTCAAAAATGTCAAAATGTATGTTTTTTTTTTTTTAAAAAGACACTTGCAAAAACTGAAATGAGCTTCTTTGGGAGGTTGCTGTTGTAGATGTGCTCAAATAAGTTTTCCACCATCATTTTGGATGCTATAGAGAGGATTCAATCATCAGGTTGTGAGAGTAGATTCGTTCCAACCCTGGGACTCAGCAGATTGCAAATCACAGTGTTACTTATATCTTAGATGATGGAGTTACTTATATCTTAGACAGTGATTCTTTATGCCAGGCATAGAGGGACTCCTTTAAGGAATGTTTTCAGGAGGTCAGGAGGGCTTCCAATCCTCAGAAACATCATGAACACTTGCTAATTTCTGGAATTTATTTAATGGAGAGAACCACATTTATTTTACATTTAGAAACATAGTGAAAGAGCAGCTAGCCCTGAGTATGAGCTTATACTTTAATCTAGGTATGAACAAATCATAGCAGATGTTTCCTGAAGTAGGTATAAAAGCAGGGAGAAGGTAGAGGCAACATTCTGTGTTTAGCCCTCGGCAATCTAATAATATGTGCCAGTACTGTGCTAGGAACTGGGTGGGGGTACAAAAGTGACTATAACGTGATGTGAAACTTGCATTTGAATACAGGAACACAGAGCTTTGGGCAAAGTGTAAGTAGAGGGTCAGGAGTGCTCCAGTAGCAAGCCATGTAAAGAAGAGTAAGAACACAAAGGAAGAGGGGTTTTTAGAGTTAAGGAACTGTGTCAGAGAAACCTCTCTAAGTTGCTGCTGACTCCAAACTGAGTTTTGAATAATGAATGAATTGTTGGCTGCTGATGAGGGACAGTTCAGCTGAAATGTGTGCAGAACTACTAGTTATCCTGGCATGCTCTGGGGAAGCCTCGGGCACCAGTGACAGGGAGCCATGAAAGATGGTTTGGAATTTAGGCATGAATCCCATTAGGGAGGGCCACCTATGTCTTTTAGGAAGTTTGAACTCATCCCAGGGATGATGAGAAGCCACCCACTAAGAGATTTGATTAGTGTCATCCCCTGAAAGAAGCTTCGCTTGCTTCATGGTTAGTGGGTTCTGCGGTCTGGTCCTAGTGGGGATTAAATCTGTATCCAACTGAGCTCCATGAGCAATTGAAATGGAAAGCCAGTGACAGGTGATGTGCCTTCTATATGGATGAGCAGAGTATCTCAAACAAAGTTTAGAGAGTTGGCGTGTAGCATGGGAGCTAAGTGATCCAGAGAAAATGAAAAGGTGATGTGAAGCGAAGGGACAAAGGAGACTACAACCTTGTGAAAAGAAGATTGAGCATATTCACCGGAGGTTGTAGTACAATTGCAGGATATTTATGTTATTTTGTTCTTTTTAGAGAATATGTATGTGCAATGTTGAAATTAGAATCTGAGGAGTTAAATATTTCTTGGCAGCATTAACTTATCAGGGATCAGTTTGACTTGGACTATCTAGTGTTACTAGTACTATTACTTTTTCATGGGGAATGAAATGCATGCATTTCAGCTTCGTGTTGTGCAACTTTATTTTTGTTTGAGTGTGCTTTAAGTACTAGTGGCAAAGGTTTAAATCGAGTCTTTCAACTGAGACATGACTAAGCAGCCTAAAGTGTCTGTTCTCAGGCACGTTGAGATTGTGTCTGTGATCCACCTCTTTGGGAGTCATATGCTCAGGAGCTCTTATCAAGATAGAAAAAACCCAGAAAAAAAAAATCCCCGAACAGAGGCCTCAATATTTGTTATACATTCTTTATTCAATCATCTCATATTTTATGAAAATAGGCTATGAAATGATTTAATCATTCATTGTTCAGAGATTAAAATTTCATGGATATCTGATAATGACTCAAAGATGACAGTGTTACTTATATCTTAGACAGTGATTCTCAGCCCCCCGCCCCCCTCAAATACTGAAGGCTTTTAGAATAATGGCTGTCAGATTTCCAATGGTGGCAGTTTGGAAAAGACTCTTGTGGTAGGCTGAATAATGATCCCTAAAGTTACCCAGGTCTTAATTCCTGGAAACTGAAATGTTATCTTACATGGCAAAAGAGACTTTGCAGATGTGATTAAATTCAGGATCTTGAGGTAGGAAGATTATCCAGGGTGACCTAGGTGGGTTCTAAATGCAACCACAAGTGTTCTTCTAAGAGGGAGATAGAGGGAGATTAGACTACAGTTGGGGAGAAAGCAGTGTGACCCTGGATGCAGACACTGGATGATGCAGCTACCAGCCAGGAGTGCTCTCGGTTACCAGATGCTGGGAGAATCAAGGAACTGATATACTCCTGCAGCCAACAAAAGGAGCCAGCTCTGCAAATACCTGATTTTAGCCTTAGAAGACTCAGCTTGGACTTCTGGCCTCCATAACTATATGGAAGTTAATTTCTGTTGTTTAAAGCCACTAAGTCTGTGGTAACTTGTTACAGCAGCATTAAGAAACAAATACATTCCCTAAATGATTTTGATATTGCCCAGAGTTGGGAATCACTGCTTAGGGTTATTGATTTGGGGTAGTAATATGTTTTCAAATAAACTTGTTACAAAAACTGTTCATGGAATACAAGAGGTTGTAAGATGGAAGACATGAAATGGTCTTCAAAATGTTTGCAGTGGTTCTAAGACTATTAAAATCAATAAATATTCTTTAAAATTAGAATTACTCTTATGTTTTATTTTAGGTAAAGTAAATATGCATAATGATTTATATACTGAGTTGAATTTGCTTACTGATTCAGAGTGACAAGGAATTTTTAGAAGAAACAGGTTTCTAAATTTCAGCACTATCCAAAGCCTATGTGTTATCAGAACTAATAGACAACAGGAATCCATGGACAGCTTTCTCAGGGTGCTTATAATTTGCTAAAAGAAGTCAGTACGAGTATAATTCCATTCATATTTAGATACTGAACTATTGAATTGCCTGAAAGCTAGAAATTATGATTATTATAGTTCAAGCAAAGAACTTGAGCATTTAACTAAATGTTCTATCTGTGAGACTACAACGTATGCCTCCTTAGCTGTATCAATTTGGTATCAGGAACAAGAAACACATCAAAGTCTGATATATCTCCTCTAGAATAGTATATATTAAAATTTTAAGCCAAAACCCTTGAAAAGTTACTCTGCCAGGTTAGAAAATGGTACTTTTTTGGTGGTACTTAAGTGAAATCATGATTAAACAGTTTATGTATTTGTTGAACATTTCTCTCACTTTATTTTTTTATTTTATTTTATTTTTTAATTGGGGAATTGGGGGAATGGTAACAG